GGTATTTTGGTCATTTTTTTATATATATTTTTCATATTTTTTATAGGTGCACCACAAGAGCATAAATCATAGTTATTGGAAACGCTTAGGAACCGGAATCGCCGCCGGTTAGAAGATTCTTGTCTTAGGAAGCGTTGTCCGTACACTAGGAATCACGAAGAACGAGATTCCTAGTTTTTGAGAATCGTGTTTCGACTGAAATTGATCCAAGTTTCATCCACATATGGAATCGATATTTCGTCCTCCTTGAAATCGAGATTCCCGTCCCCCTGGAATCGACACTCCAGGAGTCAAGACTCATTAATATACTGAATCGAGTTTCCGACATCTATGAAATCGAGATTCTGACATATGTGGAACAAATATATGTTGTTGTTTCGAATCGTGATTCTAACATATTTGGAATCAAGTTTCTGAAGTTTATGGATCAGAGATCGATGCCAGTTTGAGATCGAGATTTACAAAAATATGAACTATGGAATGCGTTTGACGACCCCTACCAGGAATCGAGATTTCATTTTTATAGAGAAGGAAGCCCCAAGCATATCTTGAGCGTTATCAACTTTAGAACCTACATTGGATGTCTCTTATTAGAAGGTTGCCCAAATTTTAAAGTGATTGTGTTGACTTTTGAACTTACAATCATTATATACAAAGATGAGCATTTCTAAATTGTGATTTTGACTTCATTATTAGAAAGACCAAATAGGATTATGTCATGCCATGGTTTTACTTTTAATTGTATGTGTTGTATTTACACAGTTATATTTTAAATTTAAAGAAAAAGCTGTCTAGGGTGGCAGAAGTAAAATAATGAAAACCTGCAACCACTAGAAGCATTCGAAGGAAGATTTCTACTCCAATTTCCTTTAGGAAGTGCACAACCATCATAGACATTGGACATTATGATTTTGAATCGGTTTTTTTTTTTTTGATACTTTGAACTAAAATCATAAATCACGAACTTTTTACCCACAATTAATGGGTTCAAGTTTCTAAAGATGTGTTAGATCGAGATTCCGAAATTAAGGAATCGAGTTCCCTTGGTTCCGCTAAATGGTTTCTAAAGGTGTGTTGAATCGAGATTCCGAAATTAAGGAATTGAGTTTCCTTGGTTCCAAAAAATGGCTTCCAAAAATGTGTTGAATCGAGATCCCGAAATTAAGGAATCGAGTTTCCTTAATTTCGAATTGGTTTTTTTTTTTTTGATACTTTGAACTGAAATCAAAAATCACGAACTTTTTACCCACAATTAATGGGTTCAAGTTTCTAAAGATGTGTTAGATCAAGATTCCGAAATTAAGGAATCGAGTTTCCTTGGTTCCGCTAAATGGTTTCTAAAGGTGTGTTGAATCGAGATTCCGAAATTAAGCAATTGAGTTTCCTTGGTTCCAAAAAATGGTTTCTAAAAATGTGTTGAATCGAGATTCCGAAATTAAGGAATCGAGTTTCCTTGGCTCCAAAAAACGGTTTCCGTGGACATTCCTTAAAGGAAACACGGCATCCGATTTCAGAACCGGAATCGTGAGGTCGGTGGAGAGATTCCGATAACTATGGCACAATCCTCAAAATTTCATCTTGATCTGAATTCTAGAAAAATAAATAAAATTCAAAGTGTTATATGCTAATTATTGACAAATAAATATTGGGTAATGGGCATATTAAGAATTAACCAAAGGAAAAGAGATTGCGTCTTAACAACCATTCAACACTCTATTATGTCATGGAAGAAGAAAGAAGAAGAGCATGGAAAGACAAGGGAAGTATAAATCCTACCACTAACCAATCACTATGACCGAGACGTGGCTTGTGTATCCTTAGCAAAAAGCTGTTTTAGCATATAGATTATACAACAGATTGTTCAACACATTGCATTTCCTCGTTGATACCCATGTCATAGTCACAATTGTGAATGTGTAAACGGCATCAAATCACTTGGTCAGGTAGCAACAAGCCAAGTCAATGGTAGCATTTATGCCTTGTGAGATGCAAGCTCTCTGTGTACATTACTCAGTTTGCTCACTGGTGAATAACCATGTGAAATGGGCAGAAATGGTCATGGTCTTAGCATGTCTTGATATACCAATGACACACCATGCATGTTGGACACATTACAAACTTGGACGCTTCCGCTTACCCATTATCTTTGGAATATGATTACGAAGTACTAAATGGGATTCAAAATCCCACCTCCCTCCTCACCCCACTCCAGCTGCTTAACCCCCCACCTTCCCTTCCAAATGGCTTACAGATATGTCATGTCAAAAAGGCAAATTTGGATTTGGTGTCCCCAAGACATGTATCCGTGTCGGATGCTGACCCATGTACCTTTGTAACATAAGTGTATAAACATAAGCATAAACAAGGTCAACCCCAAGGAAAGACAAACATGTTATATAGCATGGATCAGGGTAGAAAGGGCTTAACTGAAATTTACAATCAGAAGAGAAGCTGTAGTTGCTGCAGGACTCAACATCTACCTGACCATCTCAAGCACCAGTAGAAGACATGCTAGCTTTGTCACTCATTCACTCCAAGTATAGTGCCTCACCATAGTGATTTCCAAAAAAGTGAGCAATGATCATTCAAGAACAAAACACTTCTCTAAGTGAACTGATCTCCTAGCATTGTGAATCAATACACTTCCAGGCTACCAATCTATCTCAAGTGCAAGTTGAGTATTCTAACTCATCCTCAATCTCTCGGTCCACAAATATCTCTGATCATTATACTCTCTAAGCCGCTCTCCAATGAGCATAGATCAATGAAATTGGCATCAGTCGAGTGTATCCCATTATCTTGCAGAGTTTTGTAATTTTGTAGGATCAAAAATCAGGCATCCATAGTTTTTACTGTTATCTGGCTCAATTGCTTCATGTACTAAGAGAGAATTTCAACACAGCCACAGAAAATTACTCATACCTTTTATTGTTAACTTCATCAGTAGAAAAAAAAATGACAGTTACTGGTATATCCTTTTTTAAAAAAAATAAATATTTACATGAAGAAACATCTACTGATGGCATCCCACATATTGGGTGCTCAAACAACAGTTACTTGTACATCTTTGACTACTATCAGATTAATGTGGTGGAAGCACATCTAAGATGAGTGAAAAGGTAAATCCAGAATACTGTTCTAAGCCTTCTCTGTAGCATGTTAATTTCCATACACACCAACCATTCTTAGCGGTTTCCTTTGTTTCAGTCAAACCCTGCAGCCACTCAAATAGAAGAGCAGCTTGGCCAAAACAGGAACAGGGCACCATGTTGATCACATGAATGTTGCTTGCCATGACGAGATCATGACCCATAGGTGAGAGTTACAGCCCAGGTTACAGTCATCCAATAGAAGAGAGATCCAAGAACAAGCTCCTTTTAAACAACCCCACATTTTTAGCATGGCCAACATGCAGAGGAAGAAGGCACAAACATTACCAATTTCATCTTAGCAAGCTGGCATTTCGCACAATCATAATGAACCAGTACCATAAAAGCAGATCTCGCTCTCAAAAACCAGAGCAAGGATAAGGGTACAAGTTGAACATCTTAGATAACCAGTCACTAGATGAACATGCACTTTGGCTTGATATGGCCAACAAGAATTTCAGATACAATGAACTTCAAGACATTTAATTAAATAGAAATATTATGCAGCATGACCACCTTATGCAATAGCAATAGACACTGAGCCGTACCCAACCCAGAATCTTAAGGTCAAGTAGGTGGAGACCACCTGATTGGGGTACAGTCAAGCTCAATTTTCACGATTGCTCTCTTGGCAACCCGGGACCATCAGGCGTAGGGGGTCTCTTTCGAGCTGGTGATGGTCTCTTTCGAGCTAGTGATGGATCCATTTTGCTGTCCTTCTCTCGTTCCATAGATATAGCAGACTCCACTCTTGCTGAGGAGGCTCTTGCCCTGTTGGAGGACCTTCGCAAGTTCGATTCCTCATGGACTTTCAACTTGGCAATTGAAGAAGATTCTAAGAACATCATTAGGACTCTAGACGCTCCCCTTGGCCATGGTGTTTAGACGACATATACGAAGAGAGATGAGATAATGCATCTTACCAGGAATGTTAACACAACTTGAAGCCAAGTCTTTGGAGAAGCCAATTCAGAGGCTGATGTTTTGACCAAGGAGGGGGCCTCTTCCAACTCTCCTCGGGAGAACTAGTTTTTGTACACTCACCTCACCATTACAGATTATCTGAAAAGCTCCTTCGTTTTGTACATTTTGGTCCTTTATGGGCTTGTATAGTGTGACCCTAAGGGTTTAGCATTTTTCCTCTCGGGAATGTGTTGCGAGACTGTCTGAGGTCACATTACTCTCGTGATTGCCTTGTAATCTTACCGTATTATTAATGCATTATAGTAAATTTCTCTTTAAAAAAAAAAAAACAATAGGACACTGATATTCCATGAACTAGTCTAAAATATTCACTTTTAAAAAACATGACAAATTGGCTGGGGCCTTTACCAAACCTCCTCAGCTTAAGACAGGCCAAGTCGGCCACATTTGGCATGACTTGTTCAAGTCAAGTCAGCTCGAATCCATCCTTTTAAACAATGAAAATATGTCACCATAAGAAGCTCCCTCAGTTGAGCAACATATTACCAAAATACTGCTAGAAATAAGCAAGTTTTTTTTTTTTATAACTGTTAACGTTTGTATTGAGAAAGAGATAGAAATAAGCCAGTTGTCATCTATATCAGCCGGCAGCAGAATCAAGTCACATGACTATAGTCCACAAAATTTCTAGTTGTATCTAGACTTCACTGAACCTAGAAACAAAATGGTTGCAGTACATAGCAATAAATCATAATCAAAGATGTAGAACTTCCTAACCCATTATAAGCAATCAGAAATTGTCTCATAAATGTTTTTAAATAAATAATTTCAATGATAACATGCCATTGTAGTCATAGAAATTTTCATTTCTTTGCACAATAAAATATAGTATGAATAGTCCCCTGTAGAATTGGGTATCATAATTACCTTCCTGGTCGTTGACTGTTAGCCTTCGAGAGTGACCCGAAACACTGTTCCTGAACAGGCTGTCATCAAAAAATTCGGAATGTGGTGCACTTCCAGCATCCTCCAATGCCATTTGCATGTTGGATGCAGAGGAAGGAGCACTGTTCTTGGCTGCCAGGGTTTGAATGTCAAGCCTTTCCTCTGGGACTTGAAGCTCATCTAACTGATGAGAACTAGCAGGCAATTTACCCTGTTCTACATGTAAGGCTGGCGAAGACAATTGGTCAGCATAAGCCACAGAATTTGCAGATACCTCAGAAATCAAAGACACATTCACCAGTGGTTGGTCAAGTATGGACCAGCCATCACCATGACTGATTGGAACACTTGTTTCATGACTAACTGTCTCAGGAATATCAGAGGAGAGATCCGAAGCTGCATGCAACCCTTGATGCAATGTTGTCGATGGAAGGGACATATGGGAGTTTTGCCCTGAGTAGTGTGAATTGTGAAGTCTGTCCAAATTTTGAGGTGTTGGGGGAATTCCCATTGTTACAATGTGTATGTTTGTAGCCTTAGTAGATGGTCTACCTGATTTTACAATGTCAGCCATCGAAACTTGGCCTGGAGCCCCAGTCCAAGCAGGTTGAAACCTGGATGAAGGTTGAAAGGATGCAGAAGATGCTTCACTTGTGCTTGCTGTCTGTACCCAGCTTTCCATTGGTAAGGAATCACTGTAATCAATATTTATAGGAAAATGTGAGAAGGTTCCAGAAAGTAATGAAGTTAAAAGATACATTATAAAAAAAAATTAATGAAGACAACAGAAACACAAGACACGCAAAGAACACAATGATTTAGCATGAGACAGTATTCACATGCCCATTCACATAAACAAGATATTAACTAAAAAATAAAATGATAAACTGAATTAACGTCTTAATGGGTAGTAACTCAAATTGGAAAGACTCTATGGTTTGGGTAAGTTTCAGAAGCCAAAAATAGGACTGGCACAGAAGAATATCAAAACACGAAAAACTGGGAACTTGGCCTCATAAATCAACTTAGAAACAAAACCAAACATAGAAAAGCATTGATCTTAAAAGCATTGATCTTAATGGCCTTCTGGATAAGTAAATTATAAATATGGCAGGATTTCAGGAAGCTAAAGGTCTTTGTAGTCTCTCCATAGTCATGCTCTTATGCAGAAATATCTTTTAGGCATCTGGCAGAAATTCCAAAAGAATTAAATGTTATTGCCGCTAATGACCTCAAGTCATCATTAGTAGGAGTACTTGCTTTAGGGGATCAGCTCTTGACCATTGTTTTATGTTCTTGTGTTGCTTTGTAATTTGAATTTAGTAATAAAAATTTTTGTCGATGATAGATAAGGCCATCATTAGTCATAAGCCAATCATCAGAATTATCTAGATGAATTTCTTATCACAAAGGTTCTTCAAGATATATATATATCATGTCATTGTGCCATTATAATATAATGAAATCACACTTCTAGAAAATCATGTTTATGGCATTTATTTACCCCAAATTTTGCACAGACACTCTCTTCATCCTAATAATCAATCCCCAAAACAATAAAATTTAATTTGCACCCTAGATATGCTCAAAATGAGTCCCCCTCCATCAACAAATCTAGACCATTAATTTGGTGAATTTCAAGATCTTGACCTTTACAAACTCAAAATCTCCACTGACTTACCACTTTATTTACCCAAAAATAACATTGACCACTTTATTTACCCAAAAATAACATTGTTCATTTAATGATAATAAAGCCCTGTACAAATTAGAAAGGAAAAAACCTTTCTAAGGCTTAGATCTTAGCATCTTATCAAAATGAACAGCCCATGTTAATTGGGCTAAAAAAACACTTTCTAGGTTGTGTTTTCAAATTTTACTTTTTGTAAATAGTTTGTTAGAATGAAAAGAGTGTATTTTTAAAAATTGAGTTCAAACAAATGGCCATAACATAGTTTTTTAAGATCGTTTCATTATATTACTATACAATTGTTGCATGAA